CATTCCAAGTTTTTCTGCTGTTAATTCCATAAGTAACATATTATCACTTAATTGTTTGAATATCTAACTTTTATAGCTCCAGGTATTTTGACATTATGATTTTAACTTAATGAACCTTACGTTTATGAGCCGTAATCGCGAATAGTTGTTTAATTAAAGAAGAATATTCCGTGAATTTTTTAAATAATTAGTGTTTTTGAGTCTTTGTTATTAAATTAATGCTATTTTAATTTCAGCATCAGTGACTTTGTTTGTTTACGTAACGCATATCGTGGACAATCTACCTCCCAGAAATACTTTCTATGTGCAACTGATTCCTATTTAGGTGTTACAAATATGACAGAAACCCGAAAATCTCCACGAGCCAGCCCGTTGGCAACCCACGGCCAACCGTGGTCTCAGATAGTTCGGTGATTTATCCATTTGGCTGCTGAAGGAACTACTGACATAACGTATGAATTAGCCTAGTAATTTTAATTAATCGAACTCCCAGATTTAATTCTTAAATTTAACAAAAAAAAATTTGTGGTGATCTGCCATAGAATAACCCAATGGAAAGACATAACATATATTACTCAAATTTCGTTTATTGTAGGATGAGGATTATCATATCCCCCTTTCAAGGACTCCATCTATCTACCCCATTCTTTTCCATGTGAGCCACGAGGTCCTTGCAGAAAAAAACCTTTGAATTTCTATAGATGTTGCTCAATTATTACCAGTTGCAAAGGGACAACCATAAAAATTTAAAATTCAAGATAACAAACACATAGGTCTATCACTGACTGTGCAAGCTATATAATTGTATTAAAAACCGTTAGTTTTAAATGCATTAATGCAATCTGTTTAATTTCGCTTAATTTATTCGTAACTTACCCGCATTCTCCTTCATTTTCAAAATACACGCTGTATTCGTGGATCGTTTCATCCGCGAGAACAAATCTCAAACACGTGACCGATTCCCATTTTCTTATAGCCGTGCGTATTGTTCTTCTTAGACTTTCTACCGCCAATAAAAGAAGTAAACAGAGTTATAACCTAAGAAAATAGTAATTTTGTAACAATTAATTACGATTATCATCAAACATACCACTGATATTTGGTGAGATTTCGAATGGTACGATGCCATCTTCCCAGAGAGAATTCGTGTCGGAAATCGCCAATGTTCTCTTCCATTCTTCGCTTCTACTTTAAACGAAATTAAACTTCTATTGAAAATTTTATGAATCAAACAATCCTTTAATTATATTTTAAAATTTACGTACGTATGAAGGCTTCTTGCCTGTCTTCCAGATCTTCTTTTGATGTTTTGTTCGTAATTCTCCACTTCATCTTTAGTATCCTGAACTAAATTATTCTTAATTACACTTACTTTATTATAAAAGTACGCATTAATTTTACTGAATTTTCTCAAGTACGTATTCAATTTTATAACGAGAAAAATTTTCATAGTGTGAGAATTCGAAGTAGTGTTTTTTTTTTAATAACTCGAAAAATTCAAAGTATTATTTTGATATTAAAAGTGACACTTTTTCACTTTTTGACGATAATATTCGAATGAACAAAGAAATTAAGTTACTTTTTTGTCGTCCATTTCCTGAGCGAAAGCTTATCCTCACCGATGACAGGATCTCTAGCCTGCACGATTCATCTAGTTATCCTGTCAGATGGTCGAAATACTGACCCACCACTGGAGAGATTTTTTAAATAAAAGGGTTCAAAACCGCCATTTTCTCGCGGACCCCTCGATACACAGGAGAGGCCATAAGAACCGGAGGATCTCTCACTACAACACAACGAGACTCCTCTCTCAAGTCAACCGACATTCTTGAGATAAGTACTCTCCGCAGAGCAAGGACAACCCGTCACAACGAAAGCTCTTCCAAGAAGATCAATAAATGATACTCCAACGTCCACATGAATAGGATCAGAAAATTATTTAAGAAGTATTTTATAGATCGATGTAATTGTTAATTCTTTACGTAATCCTTTATATTTTATTTACTTATTAAATTAGTTTGTTAATTGTTAACTTGGCTCTAGTTCAATTTATTTAAGATGGACGCCTATCGACTGCCACTCGAAATAAATCGAGCTCTCCTTTTTTTGAACGAATAAATCTTAATATCACGAGTTAGGACGCGATTTTGATAAATCCTAACTGGTGTCAGATCCTGACGTCATCAGGAATCTCACGATCCCGTGACAAATTCTAACTTACAGCCACCCAGTGATGCTTGACAACGGATCCCACCGATCCGGTATCGCAAAAGGGCTCAACTCTCGCGAGGTGACCTGCGGACTATCTCACGATAGTTCATTATTGTAATTTTCGAAAAAAATTGATTCTATGACATTTTTCGCAAAAGAAAGACCCATTCTTCCTCCTGGAAAGAAATATTTATAGGCCAGTTTGCTGTATGTTCTGGTTAACAGACATTAGGTGTAAATTAGCAGTCGATACAGATATTTACATAAACTACCCATAATTTACGCAATGTTACATTTAATTCTTCAAATTCTTTCTCTACAATCCATCAGCTTTTGGTAAAGATTTCCAAATTAATAGGCAATTTCATGTTTATTCTTCAGAAATTACCTTGAAGATTTTAAGTCAATAATGATCAACCCGTTAAAAGAAAAAATGCTCAATGCACAAATTACAAAATTAGAAGATCGAATCGGGTCTACGGTATATGGCAAAGCAATACACGTAAGAGATCCGACAAGGGGAGGTCGCTTGCTGGCACTTCCCTATTGCCAAGGAGTGGGTACTTCCCGGGAGTACTTTCCATAAGAAATTGAGCCCTATGAAGATGTTAGATGCGTAAAGAAATGCCGGAAAGACCACGGACTGGATACATGCAACTTCGCTTGGCAAGCCAGTTATTGGTAGGAATGGGAACCCGCGATCAACTACGAGTATTCGATGAATTTAATTATTGGTTACTGGTGAACGATAATGAGATGCAGTAAATATTTGATGTATTCGAATATTTGAGATCTAGTTAATATTCGAATTTAAAAAAAAAACGTTATTCGTCCTACTTTAATAATCATAAATATTAATTATTCACACGTCAGTGAATACCAATTACATTATTATCAGAAAAAATTACTTTTTTTTACTCTTTCCTCCTTGTGTGCAAACTATTTGTCAATCCTATTGTGGATTTGTCCAGGCGCAAAATGGGGTGATTGGATAATAAAGAAGATATTTGGGACAGACCACCACAAAAAATCCCCATGCTTTTTGACCTGCTAAATTCGTTCCAGAGTCCCCCCGAGTGGCAAACTGATAACTCAACTTCTTGGTTAGCTTCTATCATCATCTTTGATTTCACTCCTCATATCGATTATTTGTGCCAAACGATGATTAATCATATAAGATATGGTCATGTTTGCAATGGGCATCGTCCTCTTTTATACGATATTCTGAAAGAACGTTTCTTATTGGCTATAGCGGACAAGTCCCGGTTATGTACATTTTCCCGCGAATAGTTACGTTTACTGATACTAGATGGAATACTAGAGTAAAACTGGAACGTTGTCAGCTTGCCGTGCCGAGACCATCGATTCAACTAAGCATGCGCGAACTGACGCTGTCTGTTTGTAAAATAGGAGTGAGGAGACACAGAGTAGGTAACATTTAGGTGCAAGGCATAACGGGGCCTTCCTCGGTGAAAGAAGTAAGCACGCAAAAGATATACGAAAAGACAAATCTCGTATTAAACTCACTAACAATAAATGAGCGTTTCAGCACTGCTACTTGACTACTGTTCGTCCGAGACGAGTTTACTTCTAATCATTACAATGATCGCATAACTTAGTGATGTCACGAATACAATACAACAATAGAAATCTTCACGTTATATGCAAAGAATCGAGTAAACACAAGGAAATCCTTCACATTCTTATCTTGAATAAAATAGTATGTATCACGTTTATATCTTATGGGTTCTGAATGAGAATTCCTGGTTTTCGTATAAATTTCTCGGTTATTTACGATATTTTAATGTTAAACAATCAATCCTCCCTATTCAAAACGTGTTTCTATTTCTTTCTGTAATCACGTGTTAAACCTTAATTTGGATAAAATGGCAGAAACTCTTATAGTGAACGCGTGGAGAAACTTTCTGTATTGTTCGGTATACAAGACGTTTCAATAACTGCTTACACTTATATAGAGAAGGGTCGCAGTCACTGCAGCAGGGGTAGAAGGGCCGTACATTATGAGAGCCCCACAATTGTGACATTCTTGCACACGATAAAGAACTAGGCAAATCCGGCATTGCAAGTAACTGCCACATTAATGTTAATATTTTCTGAAGCACCCTGTTTAATTAAGTGTTTATATATACGTAATATAGTACCAAATACAGGAAATATAACGTAGATATAGGCCTAAACATAGGTAAACTAGAATATAAGCTAAACTTAAATTAGAAAAAGTTTTTACTTTTTAACTTAAATTAATATTTATTTTTACAAGAAATCCCTCAATAATATTATAAAGGAAGTCAACAAACCCACTGTATATCGAATTTTGTTAGTGTTTTACGTCATCAAATACGAACTTACCAGCTTTAGGAGCTACGTAAATGTCACCGGATACAACAGTCCGTTCATCCCTTCTAATTTTCTTAGCATCGGTGTGATGTAGACAAAGAAGAAGTAATCCCAACAAAATGGCGAATTTTACAATTGACAACATTACACCACAATTCCTCGTTTACTAATTAACGTTCACACTCCTGTTCAATTTCACTCACCGGAAATCGCATATCGATAACAATAATTTTTTCCTCTAATAGGCAATTAAACACTTCCTTTCTATCGATAAGAATTGTTTAATTCGTTTGTTTTTACCGTTTTACAACCGAAAAAAAATTTTTTTACTAGAAGAATTTAATATTTTAAAGTGTTTAGTAACTTATATTTTTTCTTCATTACTGTCTAAAAAGATGGAGTAAAGAAAAAATTGATGGTAGTTTCTTTATTTTAAAAAAATTTTCGTACACAAAGAGATCCTATTTCAGCAAAAAACTTTGAATTAAAATAACGTGATATATAGTTAATCGATATCTCCCTCCCCTACAATTTCCACATCTGATTTTGTCTCTCTCATATTTAACTCCATTCTCGAGATTAAGGAAGAGCAGACATATGGACGACAGTGAAAATTTATAGATCTACAACTTTTTTACCCAACTAGATTATATTTTATAGGTACGTAAAAAGATACAGAGAGATTGGGGATTGTACGTTAATTGTGCGGAATATCTTCGTATAAAATATAACACTGAACAAATTGTTCAGTCCATCTTGTACATCGCGTGCCCTGTTCAATAATTCTTCAACAAACTATTCAATTAACCATTTATCATTTCAAAACGTAATACTGTATATTTTAACCAATTCCATCAAGTTTACATATTTACAAAGGTTCGAACAAAATGGCAAATCCGGTATCTTGAATTAGCAAATCCGATTCGAACTCCATGGTAAAATTTGAAACCTGAGTGACGTTCAAGGACTGAAAATCGCCACATAAATTCGTCCTTATAATACGATTTTTTCGGGTGCTACTCAGTTTTATCTTATCAACGCATTCATCCTGCGAAGAGATAAACAATATTTCTTTTTAGATGGCAAATGTTACACTTTTAATATGCAAATTAGACGTTTTCCATACTTACTTCGGTTTCTTGGAAGTCCATGTGGAGGGATGATATGATGAAATTCTCGTTAAGGACCTCCCATTTGCACTTTATGTTTCTGGGGTAAGGATTGGGAAACGAAGGACTAGTGATAATTGTGGATTTGGTCACGTTCAAAATTCCACCACATTTATCGGAATACTCTGATTACAGAAACATAAATTAAAATTTTAGCTTAGAAAAATAATAATTCAATTACTTCGAAGTGAAATTTCATTTAATTCAAATTTACCTTCACATCGATGTTTATCCGGAAACAATCGTCTTCCCTTTCTACACTCGCAATAATAACTTCCTATTGTATTAACGCACAAATCGCTGCATCCACCATTATCACCAGACTCACATTCGTTGATCTCTGTCAAACATGACTTTATGTAAACACTGCAAGAATATATTTTCTGATATTTAAACACGACACTCGACGTACCTTTTACGAAAGAAGCCGAAAAACCAATTCTCTCTTCCCACACCTCAGACACGAATTTAATTTCTAAAATATTTCTTGAAGACAGAACATCTGGAGGAATCTCGGAGCCACAAAAGGTATGCATTAGATTCTTGGCATTTTCAGCATATTCCCAGATTTCCACGTATGTAGAATTACAATCTGTTTCGTTGTTGCCGAGCTGAAAATGAAATGCCATTGCCGATCATTTATATTTCCTAAAAACGATACAAAGTGTACCTCAGACGCTAACATTGAATGTTTGGAAGTGCAAGGCCACTCTATAATCCTCGGGAACAGTTACGATCCAAATACAATCCTTACTGTAGGGATAATCTGCAGAATTTCGTGGACTTTTAATTAAGCCTTCGTCTGCTTCGATATCCCTTCCACAGGCGACTGAAAATATATCCATTTATCAATACTAAATTATCAATTCACGAGTTTATATCTAGAGAAAAATATAAAAAGCATTACAGAATTTAACTAATTTACTAGACTCTTTCTAATCCGGCCATATCTTGCCCAGATGGTGACAGGTGACAGATTATTATAAAGACTTACATCCTAAAGCAATAAACGACGTGATCTCTCACCCTTCGGTTCTGATAATTTTTTGAGTCGTGCCGTTTTCGTTATTATAAAATTATGTACAATGATACAATTATTAAAAGTACTTTTTTACTTAATTTAACGTCTCACGTATACTGTATTTTGTATAACGTATCACGTATACTGTGTGTATTTAAGAAGCATGGATAACAGGCGGATAATTTACGCTGGATTAGCAAGAGTATACTGTTACATAAAACCTGAAGTACTTTTGAAATTGAAGATTAGTTTTTTATATGAATGAATGTGAAGTGGAGACATAAAATGACATGAATGGTGAATACTCGTTTGAGTCAACACCTTACGAAAGATTTATTTCTGTTTGTCGGTTAAATTATAAATATTTTCTTTGTGAATTACTTATTTAAATATTAAAGTTTTATACTAAAAGCATTCGAGTTATAATTTAACCTTTATATCTGAAGGAGAATTCCGCGAAATTCGCTCGATCTGATCTTTCAAATAAGACGAAAAGATGATTAGAAGTAGTTATGTAGAAGTCCTGCACAGTCTTATTCCCACAAAGAGAATCTGCAAAGAAGTATACAAAATAATTATACACATACATATATATGGTTATTCAAAAGTCTCTTATCTCTTTAATTTGAATGAAATCGAAATAAGTTAAACAGAGCAAATTTTGAAATGACAGAAATTCGTTACACTCTATTGCACCGTTGACACACAATAAGATGGTTGCTCCTAAGCATAACGTGTTTCTATCATGACGAAATACCTCTGCCTAACTCAGCTTCACTTCATAAGGGCGATAAGCGACTTTTACCTCCCATAGTATAGTGGTAAAATCAGTATAAAAATTAGTTCTTCAATTCTAAAATACCAGTAAATTACAAGTGCTTCTAAGTGACAAACAACTAAGTAAGCAATCAACAGAGTTTTTCCTTCTTTCCGTTTATACAATTTTCTAACATTTTAAAACTATATATACTTTTAGATGTCATTAGAAAGAAAATTGGCATGTGTTTCACCTAAATACCCAGAAGAAAACGAATATCCATCGAGAAAATCCAAGTAATCTTTGGTACAGTTTTCGTTATCCGGGATGTTAACGTAATCGACAATGAACTCGATATATTCTCCCTCCTCCCTTTTGATGAACCACTCGCAATATAATTCGTCAGTCATAGAAGTGTTGAAGTATATTGTTCCTCTTTTATCTCGTAGATTAAATAAGCAAGCTGCAAAGGTAATTTTTTTAAGTTTTGTAAAATGCAATACACTTCTTGGGAGCAGTTCCTACCTGGACAGCTGTAAAGTTTGTTAGCGATTTCGATATCCGATCGGCTCAAGAAATGTCTTTGTTCATTCAGAGGAATGCCGGTGTGGTTATTGATAATAGCCATGGTTTCTCCACCAGTACTGAAGGAATCGGAGGTATAGTGCATAATACTATCGAAATCGTATGTAAATCCTAACGTGTCTATATCTTCTTCTGACAGTTTTTCATATTGACCTGAAAATTCTGAAAAGGACTCGATGGTAACGTGTAAGTTCTAATTACTATCAAAGAATATTTGTTGTATTATTTCAATTACCTTCCTTGATATGTTTGTACAAAACTTTAATGTACTTTTCCCGATCTGGTCGCATCTGCTCGTGATGAAATCCAATTGCGTGTCCTATTTCGTGCAATACAACACTGATGAAGTTACAACCGCCTTCCATTAAAGTGATTTCTTGTTTCCTACCATACTTTCCTACGTAAGAACAGCATCTATAAAAAGGAATAAAACACATCAAGGTTACTTTTATATTTTACAGTAAATTACAAGAATATACAGCAAATAAAGTGTATTTTCTGTGCACCGTTTCGAAACTAAGAATCAAGAGACAATTAACCAATCACCTTCCGTTTTACATTAATACGTAAAGGCTGATTGGTTAACTGTTACGCTGAGTTGTTGATTCCGTGTGGTATTTGATGCTAGCCGTATCAAGAACAAGTTTCTTTATACATTTATATCACTAGTTTTTAAACACAGGAAGAACAGAGAATTCTGTTTTACGCTAATAACATTCGAACGGAAATATCTACAGCTATGAATGTGTGGTATTTATTATAGTAATGTGATTAGCCCAACGAGATGAAATCAGTGATATTATCACTAATGATAAACTTCGATAGTTACCATTCGTATCTCGGAAACTATGAAGATACAGAAATATGATAACTGAGAAAGATCAAGAGCATTATCGAGTTAGAAAATAAAATTTTACAGTCATGGATGATTGGCATAATTCATGTCCTTGCACAATGCTATCGCTTGCATATGAGCAGTACACTCTCGTGACACCGTTTTTGTAGATAAAAGTTAAGCGTGGCAATGTGCAAAATTCTCTTTAATTATCAGATAGTCTTTTGATGAGTGTCTGTCAATAAAATATCACACCAAGTTATACAAATGAAGAGCATTTCCAGATGATACTGCTATACTGCGAGTGTGGACGAAATTCTACGATAGTACGCCTTGCGAATGCTTATTGGTCCAACATCCTGCGTGGACCAACCATTTCCTCATATCACAATTCTAAGTAAATTGCCCCTGTGCCTCCAAATGGCACTACAGGGTACAAAGAGACTATATTATAATCATAGGAAAAAGCAAATCTTAATAGTCCAAGGCACCCAGTAGTCACTGAGGTGTCTTGGACTATTAAGATCGAACCCAAGATAGGTGCTCGGGCTCTAGCTCTGGCTCTGGTGATACAACCCAATGGGTACCAACCAACCTTGCCTTTCTTGCCCCCAACTTCAACCCTCTAACATATGCATACAGTTTTACACAGCATATGGCTGTTATCCATGCACTCAACCAAGAACTGAGTGAAGCTTAACATTTCAGGCTGTGGGGCCCTCTCTCAGAAGGGGGCGCGCCCAGACTATTACTGAGCTTTGGATCTTTGGACCTTTTTATTATGTTTCTGTCAAGTGCTTTAAGTTTTGTGAGCATTGAGCTTCTGTTGCAGCCCAGGTGGGTTCTAGCCATCACCCTTGCCTAACCCTTAAATGGCCTTCCCTACATTGGCCATGTAATTGGTGAGGCCTTGAAAATCCCACGTTTATTTTAGAATGGGCAAAGGTGCAAAAAATAGCCCTACTTGGTTAAACACTGAGCTCCATCAATTCCTTTTCTGTTTTTTACAAAATTTTGTCAATTCCTTTTCCTTTTCAGGCTAACTTCAGTCGGTAACTAGCCGTAGTCAATTTCAGACCGTACCTTGGCCAATTAATTCCCTCAGGTAAGAGGAACAGCTGGGACATAGGAAGGAGTGGCCCATTTACAGCTGCAAACCAAACTTACTGCCCACTGTAAAATGCAGCAACTGCTGCATTTCGGCAGCTTTGTTTTGCAGTGTTTATGAGAGTGTTCCATCGTGCCAAGGCTACAAGTCCGCTGCTGCATTACAATGTGCAGTGGTATGCCCAAACTCATATCACCTATAGCACCAGCTCAAGGCAAGACGTTTCCTGTCTCGATTCCTGGTCCACCCATCATGGACTTTGCCCCTTTCAAGGACTTTTAAACAGGGGGTCGTGACTCACTGACACGATGGAGAAGACACCCTTTTCCTTTAAGGAAAAACTTGGGCTTTAGGTCGCTAGCCGGCATGCCCAAATCATTTTGGTCAAAAATAATCTCTGCCAGTTTGTCTTTACTGATGTCCTCTTGGACATCGTAAATTATAACTCTCAGAAGGCACTTTTTTGGCAGTCAATAAATGATCATCTCTTTCGGTGCTTTCCTTTCCATCAACTCCTATTGGAGTACTTTGACATTCTTACGGGATGCAACCTTGATCAGGACACTATTCCTCCTAACACAGCAGACATTCCGCACCCCTACCTTTAAATTTGACAGTGTTGATGTTCTTTTTTACATGGTCGCGGACTGCATCAGTAGTCTTCTTTCTGTCCTTCGGATACACATGGGAAACGTGTTTCGATAAAGGAATGGAAGGCTCCTACTTCGGCTTGGGAGGCCCATTTGCAATCTTTTCATAGGTGTCCTTTGTTGCCATTACAAGACTTTTTTGATCCACTCTACTGGATCTTTGCTGGATCGGTTGGTGGGGCATGCCCACCTCTCTCTTAGGGCTCTGATCTCTGTATGTGAGGTGCTTAATTTGTATTCTTTCTTCAGCACAAGTAAGGTCATCATACTGAAGAGGTCCTGGATGGCAGAACCTACCATCTTTTCACATCAGTTATCAGCCATGCTTAGTAGGCCCGCCAGTGCCTTAGAGATTCCCTTGATCGCCTTGCTCACATCTGAACATTTTAACTGCACCTCGGCAGTTCCTTCTTGCCTTTTGGAAGAGAAAGGGTTTTCGTCTAAACTTGCCAAAGCAATCATTTGTCCCGAGTCTGTAAAAGATGTCTCGACTTCAACACCTCAGGAGGCAACTCTTCTGGTTGCCCTTACAGTCCTTGCAGTCTCATCCCCAGCCATGGTAGGACAGCCATAGACTGCATGGATGGGAGGAGAACACTGGGGATCACCATTCCCCAGGAGGAACAGCATCAGAAGACACCTCCTCTTCTATGTGTACACTGCCCAGCAAAAGTTTTGTCTAACAGCCGATCGACAGCGCATGGGCGGAAGAAGATCACTTGATAATCCAGGACGTCCTACCTGTTATCAAAGGCGTTTACAGTGGACTGGTCCGATTTGCGCCGTAATGGGGGCGAGGAAATCGAGCGGGAGGGACTAATGTGTGCAGTCAAGCGTGCTACGGGTTGACATAACTAGTAGCTCATCAATGCTAGCTTCGCGTCCGCTGTATTTATTTTTTTTTAAATCGTCAAATCGCGGCCCTGATTATCAGAAATTATGATTCTATCTGTTATTTTGATACTTTTCTTTATTTTTACTGTTTTATTTACTTTATTTTCCTGTAATTAGAGATGATACAGCTTTAAAATAAACAGATCAGCTTTCTCTTGCCAATAGATTATCTCAACTTTCACCGATTGTCGTCGGTTCCTTTGTAATCGGATAGGAATCGACCGTGAATTGTCCAGTGTTAAGTGTTTATTGCTTTTGCGGTAATACTAGTAGAGCGGGATAGTCCCTTAATGAACCGCGTTTTATTACCGTTTAAACAACTTTTCCCCAATTCTTATTCTTAGTAACTAGACACTTCTGTCAAGGTCGGTTAAAGTTTATTACTTTCACAACAGGGTTTCAAGTGAGCCGCCACACGCACCCACCGTTAACGACAACAACGCGCGAAGAATCACGTTACTCTGTAAACGATAACTCCCTTCCTTGTTGGAGGCGGGTCACATGTCAAGGTTACCGTTTAATTTCATTGAACAGAATTTTGTCCTTGATATTTAAGAATCAGTTTTGTAAGAACTGTTTATTTTCAATACATTTTTTATAAATTATTTCCGCTTTGGTTATAAAATTGTTATTATCGTTTTCTAAAACGATTTTTTTTAAATTATACTCGTATAAAGGTTATGAATTAAAATTGCAATGAACAATTCGTTGTTATAATAAACATTTATTCATTACACAGAGTTCAAGTTTGCAAAAAATGTTTTCATATCTCTTATTCATCATTATATATATATATATTAATAAAATATATTGATATTTTATAACCAGATCTTATTGTATTCATTTTATTACTTTGTATTTAAATACACATTATATTCGAATCGACATTATATATTTTGTAAGTATTCACGTATCACGTTATATGTCATTCGTTTACTTCTATACTACTTACGTTAAAACTATTTGTATATCTTTTAACTTTCATTTACATGCTTTCGATTACGTTTTAAATATCATGTGATCTAATCTACGAACGGCAGCTTTCCACGCATCACATAGAATTTCTATGGAAAAGGCCTCATTGCAGGCGTAAAGTATTTATACAACGGGTAAGTGCCATTTACAGATTATGTGCAGTCCAGGACTATACTAAATGCCACACAGTATGCTAATGCGTTGCATTAGCATACTGTGTGGCATTCAGTACAATATTCGACGTGAAAACATTCAGTAAATAAAAGGAGACATATATAGTAAATAAGGATACATTTTTCTGTATATTATTTATGTCTGTTACACTGAAATTAAATACAATTGTGAGGGAAGTGATAGTTTAAAGCCTTTGCTGAAGTGCTTGATTAATTGTTCCAATATGCCTCGACCGATATCGAAGGATATTCGCGAACTTGTCGTAAGCAATCGAAGGGACGGCATGACAATCGCCGAAATATCTAATTGCCTCCGGATATCGACACGGAGTGTGTCGAGAATTGTCAAATTGTATGAAGACACACAGTCGGTGTCGCCAAAACGCTCGTCTGGCCGACCGCGCCTAACGACTCCAGCTCAAGACGAGCGAATTAGGGAGGAAAGCCAGGCGAGCCCGTTTGCAACAGCTTCAACGTTAAGAACACGTCTTGATCTGAACGTGTCCGCGGATACTGTTCAGCGGAGGTTAGTAATATTTGTAGTATAATATATAAACCTTCCAACGAAATATATTTCTGTCGATAAGATGAACCGCCAGACATATCTATTAACGTGCTCTTGCGTATACAGAATTGTATGTAGCAGGGTAATACATATTTTTATTTTAATCGTAGGTTGCGCGAAGCAAAATTGTTTGGAAGAAAGGCAGCAAAGAAGCAAAATCTAACAAGGGTAAATGAAATGGACAGAATAGGATTTGCAAACCAGCATTTACAAT